CTGCCTCTGGAAGCGCCAGCTGCCGGTAGCTTCCCTCTTCTCGGCTCTTGGCCCACCGCCCAGGAAGCCTTGCTCCCCTCCCACGGCCCTCCCAGAAATCCCTGGCACACATACAGCCTCCTCACTGTTCTCATCAGGAAGGGGAGGGGGGCGGTGTCTGAATCGCGGCCCACCATTGCCAGGAGAGGAACTCACACCTTCCGAGACCTGGAGTCGGGGTGGATGCTGGCCGGGAGGGAGGGAGGGAGCGAGCCTCTCAATGACTGCGGATAAGCGTCTGTCCTCAGAGATGTGGGACACCGGTGCCTCATCCCCAGGCTGTGGGATCTGTTCTCCAACCATTATGGCACCCACCTGGCTGACAGGAAGTCCTCCTGGGCCCTCAAGGGCACAGACCATGCAGAGGGAGGCGGGGCATCTGCTGGTCATGAGCTTTGGTTGTCAGCCCACAAAATGGGCTTTGATTGTGCTCGCCTGCACCCGGTGACTGATTGGACTATGAGGCGCTGTATAATAAGCAATCCAGAGCCTTTTAAGGCTGGTTGAGTTGTCTGTAATCCTGAGTTAGGAGAGATTGGAAACGCATATCTTAGGGGTGCTCCGTGTCTCGATTCCGTTTCAGGAGAATGTTAGCATATGAGAAATATTTCCACAAGTCTCACAAAAATGTATCTTCTGGTGCATTTGTTGCTAATCTTAATTTCAAGCCGATTTCCCCCTGATGAGTGGGGAAATCTTCAGTGACTGAGAAACTCTGTGTGTGTGTGTCTGAGTCTCTGTGTGACTATGTCTACCTGTCTGTGTGTGGAGGGGGTGGGTGAGAGTCTTGAGCCTCTGTGTATATGTCTCTGAGTGAGTGTGTGAGAGAGAGAGTCTTTGTGTGTGTGTGTCCGTGTGTGGTTCCGCTGCCACGTCCCTTGAGGAAGACCCACGTCCTGCGGGTGGTCCGGTTCGCAGTGACCTTGGGGACAGCAGAGAAACACCTTGATGCTGCGCCCTCCTCACCAATTTCGGTCAACTCCCGAGGGTCATCCTCGTGTCAGAGGCCCTCTGCTTGAGCAAGCATGAGGTCCTTCTCCAGGGACTGGTCTCTCTGGGCAACACGTCCAGTCTCACCGCCCTCACTTCTAAGCGGCGTTCTGCTGCGTTTCTCCCGGACAGAAGGGTCTGCTCTCTGACGGGCTGTGGCGCACTGAGCCCTCATTTAAGCCGTGGTTATTTGGTCCTGCTTGTTCCTTGTCCAGCTGCCGAAGGCACCTGAGGCCGTTCAAGCCCGATTTAGTGCTTCATGTGATTTCTTGATTGTGCATGGTGTGCCTGTGTGCACACAAGATTCAGCAGCATATGGGCTCTCCCCCTTCCCTGGCCCCAGACTCCTACAGGCTCAGCATCAAGAGTCTGATGGACATAACTTGTCTGGCCGAATAGCCCATCAGTGTGCATGAGTGACCTGGCCATTCAAAAGGGTCGCCGTGGAAAAAGGCGACTGGGCCACCTCTCCGTGTTTCACCAGCTGTGAGCTGTTGTGCTGAGTTGGCGAGCTGGCTCAGGCAAGGCCCTTGACGCCATCATTTTTGTAATCGAGCGGGACATGTACCCAGCTGTCATTGGAGAGCAAACTGGAGACCTGGGCCCTGGCAGATCCACTCTGCTGGGAAGAGAAAGATCAGAAAAATATGGTGTCACATGAGGGTTAGCCACGGGCAGGTTGCCAAGCCTACAGCATCCCTCTTGGGTTTTCTAGGGGAACAGAGGGGCAGCCCAGGGGGTACAGATAGGGGTTGACTTGGACCAGAACTGTTGCAGGCAGTGGGAATGTGGTCAGACTCCACACTGATGTGGACGGAAAGCAGGAAGACTGCGTGGTCCTGTGTGCATCAGGAGGGCCAGCAGAGAAGGAACCTGCGCCCCGTGACTCTTCCTGCAGTGATGGTCAGCTGTGTGGCGGGCAGGTAGGCGGGCCTGTAGAGGCAGTGGCATCAGGACGCGATGTGGCTGGCCCCGGAGATAGAGAGCAGAGCCCAGGCGGGAGTGGGGCTCCCGCTGAGACGGGAGGCTCAGGCAGGGTTCTCAGGCTGACCGTCTCTCCCTGGACCAAGGAGGGACGCCCAGGAGACTGGCCGAGAGGGTGCATGGCGCCAGGGCGGAGAAGATGGGAAAAGCAGTGGGCACAGCCGGGAGGTGGGCCAAGCTATCCAAGACTGCACCTACGCTGGCACACAATGGCTCACAACCATTGTGCTGTGGTGGCAGATGGTGGAGAAGCAGGGTCAGGGAACATGACCGCCGGAAGAGCCGGGGTGTCACCCAGCAGAGTCCCCTGCCCTCCCCCCCACCCCCCACGGGGATGCTGTCAGCAGGAGAAGCCAGCAGATGTTGAGGGTGAAAATAAACGCGGTGGAACTGGTAGCAGCAGTGGGATCGGCGCGGAGAAGGTGCCGTCCGCCATCAGGAGGATGTGCCAGGCACTTGCCAGGCCTCCTTTGAGGTGCCATTTCATTTTGGGCTGTGTCTCGCATGTCAGGTTAGTCACGATGCCGGGGGCTGCAGCCCAGCTGGGACCTGACAAGGCCTGCTCCCCCGGCTGCGCTTCTAGCACACTGATGCTGTGAAGCACGGGCACTGTGGCCCAGAGCCTTTCCCCCTGGCTGGCTTCCAGAGTGGGCCGCCCGGCCTTGCTTCTTAGACCATCTGCCTGAGCACTCCCAGGCCAGCAGTGCACCGAGCAAGGATCACACCACGTCACCCACACATACACACCAATATATACACACACTTTATCATGTATACATATCCAGTCTACACATACACATGCACACACACCCCACAGTTCACATACTCCACAGTCACATTTAGACATATATCTTGCACATATACATACCACATAGACACATATACCCACAATATACACACACACTCCCCCACCACACACACACATACACACTTCACCATATAAGCACATCTCATAGTCACATCTACCCACAGTATACACAAACACAGACACAAATATATATACACACCTCACCACGTACACACGCCCCATAGTATACACATACTCCCCACACCCCCACAGCAGAAATTTATATACGTACGTCCCACAGCCACATGTACCCACAGCACACACAAACACCACCCCATCACTGTGGGGTACCAGTCTCCACAATCAATGGCCCAAGGAGCAGTTGTGTCACGGAGGGGTAGAATTAAGGAGACATCAGACAAGGTAAGGCGTGCGAGTGCTCACCTCCGGGACCACCCACCATGACTTCAGGAGCCAGGTCCACACAGAGAGAGGGAAAAGATTTCCAACCAAGGCTTATATACACTCTAGGGGCGTGCAAGCCCCCCTAATTACAGGTCACATACATAACAAAGGGGGCTGTACCCTCACCCCACAGGTCCCTGAGTTCATTGGAGGAGTCACCTAACACCAGTGTTGGGCAGGTAAGGGGGAGTGACTGTCTTCAGTCTAGAGAGCAGTAGCACACGTCTGCTCCTGCAGTGAAAGCTGCCGGCTACCCAGCAATCAGCCGTGGGCTTGTCTGAGGTAACCTTAAGGCAGCACTATATGGGGAGTTATACTGCAATATTGATTATGAGAATGTGATTGGGACTCACGTACAACTCACAAGGGTGAAGGCCCCCCTCCACCCCAGAAACCCAGCCGGCCAGGCTGCTTAGCATGAGATAAAGGATTCATCCATATACATTATCTGCCTGTTCTCTGCTTCCCACACACCTCCCTGTGTACCCCCCCACAGGCGCATGTACCCACAGTGTACACATACAAATACACATAGATGCACACATCACAGAGACACACGCAACCCACTACAGACACACTATACAGTACACACCACACAGATGCACAGACATGCTATACCTCATATGCATACACATACAAACACCACAGTAACATACACCACTACACAGACATACAAGTAGACACGCTGCACACACACGCATGCACACACATATATTCACACACTCACCAGTAGGTTTTAAATCCCCTTATTTTTCCATCCCATTTTTCCATGAACTGTTAAGACCCCTTGTATACCACACAGACAGGCACGGCCAAGCAGATTGTTTTCTGAACCCCATGCTGTGACCTATAACTGACCTGGTTCCAAACATCCTTGTCCAAAGGGTCTGGGGTCTCCCCACCCAGGTTGGCATTTGTTCTTCAATTTGGAAGACTCTTACCTAAACGTCATTCTTCAGCAGTCTGCTTTGTGGGACAATACTCATTTCTCATCTGAGAATTTTTTCTTGTCGTACCGCTAAGCCTACTGAGGAAATTGGGACAGTTAGCCCTGCTGGAGCAGGTGGGAGAGGAAGCCAGGTGTGCTGTAGCGTGTGGGTTTTCCCTCTCGTCTCGTCTCTGTGCCAAGACTCGGCACAGCAGGGGCACATGCACCCCCATTACTAAAGCATCCAGAACCAGTGCCCTCGAGTGGTCGACTTGACAGAGACCAGTCCCTGGAGAAGGACATGGTGCGTGGGCATGTGCAGGGCAGACAGAGAGGAAGGCCATTGGTGAGACGTGAGGGTGATGAGGGTGACGCCACACCGACAGTGCTTGGTCCTGTTGTACATGGGCCAATAGCCAGCACGTGCAGCAACGACAAAGCTTGTCCATAGGAGTCCGAGTGAATCGCGAGCATTTCCTATGTGGGGGAGGAGGAGGCTTGTGCCAGGCCTCCCTAAACATGCACATGGGTGATGGGGAGCTTGTGTGTGCAGGAGCATGGCCCCCTCATCACTGACCTCCACATGTGCCGCGTTGGTGACTGCTAGCCTGAGCCCCGGGGTTGTGCTAAGGAGTGGCAGGTACTTCTATCCATGTGTTAAGTAGACACACAACAAGGCAACCAGAGCCACTCCGAGGAGGAGAGTGGGGCAGGCTGCCTGCTGGGCGCCTCCCATGGGTGGGTTTTTGTCTCTACCCCTGTGCCAAGCACCCGTGGCCACATCACTGAGGAGCCCTTGTCCGGCAGGATCCCTGGGCGGCTGAACGACCGGCGCACACCGCTGGGCGAGCTCAACTGGATCTTCACGGCCATCACGGACACCATCGCCTGGAACGTGCTCCCCCGAGGTGAGGGTGCACACAGAGAGGGGGTGGTGGGCACTGCCTGAGGGAGCCCCGGCTGCTGTGAGGAACCGCTGTGACCACCTTCCCGGTTGATTGATGACTGGCACACTCCGTATTTGCTGAACCCAAACGTGTCATTAGGAAACTCATGCGTCTTCTGCTCTGTTTGGCTTGTTGAATTGTTTGGGGAGCCCTGGAGGGGGGAGTGTGTGTGCACCAATGGGCATGTGGGGGGTTCCTATACAGATGGACCTGGATGGATGGATGTGCATGTGTACAAACAGAGGATGGGTAGACATAGGGATTTGTGTATGTGTGTACCTAAAGATGGACATGTGTGTATATAGATGGTGGACATGTGTGGGCATGTGCATATGGATGGATGTGGGTGGGGGTAGCCATTTGTCTGCATGGATGGATACTGCACATGGACATAAAGGTGATCGGGTGGACATTTGGGGTATGCGTATGGATGTAGTGTGCGTGTACGTATTGTGTGCACAGATGCATTCGTAGATGTGTGTGCACTATATGCAGATTGGTGTGGATGGGTGTATGAATAGGCTTATGTATACATGTGTATATATGCAGATAAGCCTGTGTGCACATATACAGATAGGCATGTATGCACACACCTGTAGATGAATGGGTGTGTGTCCATGTGGACATATGTTTGCACAGACAAGCAATGTCTGTGTTCCTGTACTTAGAGAAGGACATGTGTACATGTGTGGGTGGACCCTGTGTGTGTCAGCATGTGCATGTACACACAGATGGGCGTGTGCTCATCTGCACAGAGACGTGTGTGTGCGTGCATGCACAGAGACGTGTGTACATGGCAGCTCCTGTGTGTGTGTGTGTGTGTGTGTGTGTGTGTGTGTGTGCCCCTGGGGTGCGTGCCTGTGTCAGGGCTGTCCGAGCTGGCCCGCTCACAGAGAGCCATGCCCTCTCTGTCCCCAGATCTCTTCCAGAAGCTCTTCCGCCAGGACCTGCTGGTGGCGAGTCTGTTTCGGAACTTCCTGTTGGCGGAACGGATCATGCGGTCCTATAACTGCACCCCTGTGAGCAGCCCCAGGCTTCCCCCCACCTACATGCACGCCATGTGGTGAGTGTTGCTGCCCACACAAGCTCTGCCAACTGGGACTTAGTCCCCTCACCACGCCCCCGACAAACACAGAACCTCCACCACCACCCCAGGACTCCTAATGGCTGGGCTCTGGCTCTGGCTGGAGGCAGTGAGTGAGTGTCGGGAAGCAGTAGCAGCCGAACCCATGGTGCGCATGCCAACTGCTCCAGGCTCAGCACTGCGGGCCGGTGCGCGCTGGGGGCAGTTTGTACACGTCTGCAGTGCACAGGGTGTGTGATGGCATGTGGCTGTGGGGGGTGAGATGCCCCCTTCTGGCCTCCTGCTGTGAATGAGTGCCGCTGAGAACACGTCACAGTGACTGGTGTGCTCCATCCTCGCTCTGCACGCCCGTCCCTGCCCCTGCCCTCCTCCCACCTGGCAGCCATGGAACAAGTGCTAAGGTGGCAGGTGCCGGAGAAGTAGTACGTCTGAGGAAGTCAGACGTGTGTGGAACTCACATCCGTGGTGGCTGGTTTGTGCTCCTCATGAACCACCTCACCACGTGTGCTTTTGCTCGGCTCACCTCAGCTGCCTCTTGGTGAGCGGTCAGTCACGCACGCCACTCCTCCCCTCCAGTCCTCCTGTCCTCACCCTCGGAACTTTGTCCTTGGGTCAGTCTGCCCTTCGGAGCTTCAGTCCTTGACTAGTCCACCACAGGGCTGAGTTCAGCGTGCTAAAGGGGGCCCAGGGCCGTAGATTTCAGGGCTCGTACCTGTCTCCCTGACCAGTGAGCCTGGTCTCTTAGTGTGAATTCTCGTCCACATCCCGCCCCCACTCCCTCTCGTCAGAACCCTGTAATGGGATCCTTTCCGAGCCAGCCGTTGGCAGTGGCAGCCAGGCACCACCTAGTCCTTCTAGTCTCAGGCTCATGGAAACTGGTACCCCTGTGGACCCAGAGTCCCTTGGACTAGTGGCTTTACGATACACGCATGTGGCACTTTGCCCAGCTGCTGGGAGACTGGGGAAGCAAGGTGCCCACACATGGTCTCCGTGTCGTTCCTAAGATGTTTCCCTGGCTCTTGCCCGCGGTGGACTGCTGCACGGAGAGCGGGAGGCCTGATCAAGCCCCTGCATTTTGGAGCTGGTGTCAGAAAGCAGGAGCGTAGTGCAGAGAAACAAAGACAGCCGCCACGTCTGCTCCCATCACAATGACTGACCGGACTGTGGAGGGACTGCAGTGGGAGCCGAGAATAATCAGGGTGGCAATTCCATGTCTGCAGGAGGTGGTGCTCGAGCAGCCTGGCTCCCTGGGAGAAGCCACTTCTGAAAAGCTATCTCCCCCAAGACAGGCCTTTGTCCAAAGCTGACTAGGGAAGCCAGGCCCGCGGTCCCCTGCGCAGGTGCGTGCGTGCGGGCATCCGCTGTGTTTAATGGGCACGTGGTGGTGGGGGGTGGCCCTGACTGCACGTCCTGCACTGTGCGTCCTACTGGCCAAGCGGTCTTTCTGCCTCCAGCGGCACTAGCTCTCAGTCCAGACTTTGCAACAGGGCCCCGGTCCTCACTGGGTGTGGCCGCTCTGGGCTGGCTTCAGGCCTAGGAGCCTGGCCTTCCTGGGCGCAGTGACCATGCCATCCGCAGCAGCCCTCCCGAGAAAGGCCTGGCAGTCCTCTTCCAAAGCTCACCTACCCACCGAGGAGCCGCTCTGCCCCAGCCCTCAGGTCCACAGGGAGTCAGACGTGGGGCTCCGGCCCAGTCGCCCTGGGAGACCTCTTAACTGTCGGGGAGCAACAGCTCACTGGGGACTGAGGTGGCCTGACCCGCACCACGGCGCTGGCAGCCACTTCATGTGCCGGTGAGAGGTGGGCGCTGACAAGGAGCAGGAGGGTGGATGTGGGTGAAGGACGGGTGGGGACGGGGACTTGGCACATACACCTCTGCCCTGTGGGCTCTGCAGAACTGGGCAACCGCTGGTTTCCGGCCTCGGGGGCAGCAGTGGGCTCCATGGAGAGGAGCGTGGCCCCCACCACGCCTGGCTCTGCGGTAACGTGGGTTTGAACCACTGCCCTTTCAGGCAGCCATTGAGGGCTTACCCACGGCCTCACCAGGCCGCTGCCTCTTTTGGAAAAGCTGGTAGATACCACTTTTATCCCACACGTAGGTTTTCAAAGTTACTGAAGTGCTAAAAGCTATTTTTGCAAATCCTGTCATTCTGGGGCCGGCGTCCTTCCTGCCTGCAAAGCCGGAGACCGCCAGGAGAGGTGTGGGGCCACCCTGCACATGAGGGCTGAGGGCTGCTGGTGAGTGTGGGTGTGTGAGTGAGAATCGGTGTGCCTGCGTGTGCACGTGTGGTGGGGAGCACTGCACCTGGCTGCAGACAGGGCTGACCGTGAAGCAGTTTCCTGTTGCATTGCTGACGCCAGGCCCCTGGGGCTATTCTCCCCACCCCATCCCAGCACCCCGACTCTGAGTCTGAGCTTGGTGCAGTATTACCCGAGCTGTCCATGCCCACAGCCGGCCCTGCCGAACAGATGGGGCGGCGTGCCTGGGGCCTGCCTGGCAGCACGCTGGGCGCCTGCCCCCGAGCTTGTTCCTGAAAACCCAGCGCTGCCTGGCTGGCAGTGACTCACCCCTGAGAGCCAGCAGCCCCGCACAGCCCCCGCCCGCCTGGGGGGATGCTGGGACAAGCAGAGTTTGCGCCTCCCTAGGGGCTCCTGCCCACCCTCCTGCAGGTGCCAAGCCTCAGTCCCTCCCCCTCTGCCCTGAGAGGACTTCCCCCCACCCCCACCCAATTTTCTCAGCTGAGGACTGAGGAAAGGCACCCTGATGCCTGTGTCCTAGAAACACAGTCACCCCCATGGTGCTCAGCGTGCACCCAGCTCTTCAGCCTTCAATAAGCCAGACTCCAGGGTCACCCACCCTCACCCTGTGTAAAGGGCATGAGCAGCCCCTGGGAGAGTCCATGGCTGCCAGGCTCCCAGCCCTCTGCCCTGGGGGCAACCCTACCACTGACCACCCGAACCCCTGGCATTCTTGAATTCTGCACTGAGGCCACAGCACATAGGGTCACAGCCTTCTGGGCCCCGCCCCCAGGTGAGCGAACCCCCTTGGCCCCATCGATGCCACCCTGCTTGTCATGTGGCCCTGTGCTGCCATGACGTGCTGGCTGTGGCAGTGTGGTATCAAGAAGACTTAAGAACCTGCTGGGGAGACCTGAAGGTGCCCCTGAGCCAAGCCAGGGTGCTTTAGCCACTCATCTGAAAGTAGGCAGCGATGAGGAAGACGGAAGAGCCTTGAAGGGCAGGGGCATGTGCCCAGGGGCTGCCAGCAGAAAACAAAGTGACTGTCCCTTGGCCTTGGGGTAGCGGCTCTGCAGCTCCCTCCTGTGGGCTTGCTGTAGGAAAGACTGCCTCCTAGAAGAGGCTGCGGGGGTCGAGCAGAAGGGAGACCTCGGACCGGCCACAGGTGTGGACACCACGTTAGGCCGTGTGCGTGGCAGAACTGGCAAGATGGCAGCCACGGGGGACCCCTCTGCCCTCTGCTGCCAGCTCCTACTCAGCCAGTGCCTGCCTGGATGCAGGCTGCCCAGAACCCCACGCCACACCCCTAGCTTCACGTCACCCCCTCACTCCTGGGGTCAGGCTGTACTCTGACTCGGGGTCAAGGCACTGGGCCAACCTCGAAGCCTCGAAGCCACTGTCTCCCAGTGATCCTGAGGGGAGGGGCCAGCCGTCTGGGAGCTGCAGCCCCCACCCCTGCGAAAGGCCTTCTGCTGCGTTTGCCCGGATTTCACGTTTCTCTGTTGGTCCCGGTGCCCGCCCACCCCACACACTCATTCCTCCCAGGGCGCATGGGTCTCCGCCTCGTCTGGGGGCTGTGAGCAGCTCTCCTTCTGCCACAGCGCTGACCTGCAGTCACCAGGTCTTTGCCACCAGACTTTGCTGTTACCTGTCAGGCACTTAACTGCTGCGCCACCAGGGCTGCTCCAGAGGGGCTGGCAGATACTGAGTGTTCGCTCCAGCCCTCCAGCGCCTTCATCCTCCCCTGGCAGAGCCTTCACCCACCACCCCATCCCCGCACGGGCCGTTGGTGCCTGCTGGCCCTGTGAACTGTGTCCACAGCCTCTCAGCAGCCCGCTGAGGCCCATCGTGGTCAGCAGCTACCGAGAACGGAGCTGGGAGCGGAGACATTACAGCTAAGCGAGCGCTCGTGTCCCTGTGCTCCTGCTCCTGTCCTGAGGGACACGGGGCTGCATCCGTGCCCGTGGCGGGGCGCTCGGCGAGGTAGTGCTTGGAGAGCTGTGTGCTCGAGACCTGGTGGCCCACGGGTTGCAGCACTGGGTTGCTTGCTCTCCTGGAGGTCAGCTGCTTGAATTGGCCGGGGGGGATGTCAGGGAGGCCAGAAGATGGCCATACTTCTTAACAGAGCCTTAGGAGCTGGTAAGACTGCCTGCTTGTCCAAGGTTTGTCCCTTAGTTTGAAGACTAAGTGATTGTGCGGCGCCACCTGGCTAGCTCAGGTCCCTCGATCCCCTCCCTCTCCTGCCCTCGTGCAGTGCACTTGGCCACAAGTGCCAACCGCTCGTTTCCTGTGTTCTCTGCAGGCAAGCCTGGGACCTGGCTGTGGACATCTGCCTGTCTCAGCTGCCAACCATCATCGAAGAAGGGACCGCTTTCCGGGTGAGCCCCGGCTCCCGGCCCCGGGTGGCTGAGGCTGGAGTCTAGAGGGCAGCAGGCGGCTGACCACGCCCACAACCCAAAAGGTTGCAGTTTCAGGGCCACACAGGTCGCCTGCAAAGAAAGGCCTGGTGGTGACATCCAGGGGTGTGTATGATGCAGGGGCCTCTCCAAACACCACACTTATCCTACCCCCACCCCCACCCCCACCCCCACCCCACCGCCGCCGGGTCTGCACAGCAGCCAGACTCTCCCTCACAGGAGCAGTCTGGAGAAGGCGGCCACTTGTAGAACAGGTGCTGCTCTAATCCCACTGGCTCCCCAAGTCTCTGGGTGAGGGTGAGGTCAGCAGCCCTACTTCTGTGGCACAGCACCCCTCCAGCCAGACCCAGGGCGCTGGAAAGGCCGCATGAGCAGTTCGACTTCACCTGCCCCCCACTCTCAGGCTAAAGGCTCCCCGGGTTCTCACCGGATGTGGGGGTGGGAAGCTTAACTAGACAATTTTCCTAAACCGATTTATGAATAATTCACACTTAAAGTCAGGAGAATCACCCCTGGGCTCGTGATCACACCCCAGCCCGATGAGGAGTGCTAGCACTTCGCTGACTCGGCAGGACGGGTGCCTAGCATGCTCACATGTGACCCTGGCCTGCTTCTCGTGCGTTCCACTAGAAGGAGGGGTGGATGTGAGCAAGCTGGGGTCCCACCTGGTGACCACCCTCAGGTCACGGCCAGCCTGCCACGGTTCTTGGAGTCCCCACCGGTATAGTGCCCTCTTAGCCTACTGTCGCTCCCAGCGTGTTCAGCTGTAAGTATGCTGTGCCCACCACTCACAGGGCTAGGATAGCTTCTCCCACATGGACACCTCACCCACATGGGGCCCATGTGTTTCCCCCTGGAGCCCCCCACGCCCTCCACCCCTGCCTGCCCCCTGTGCCTCAGAGCTGACCCCTCCTCCAGCCTCCCTTGCGCTCTGTGCTGGGCTTCGTCGTCCTTCCAGGTGAGAGGCCATAGCAGGCCATCCGTCCATAACACCCCACTTGCCCCACAGCACAGCCCCTTCTTCGCCGAGCAGCTGACCGCCTTCCAGGTGTGGCTGACGATGGGCGTGGAGAACAGGAACCCCCCCGAGCAGCTGCCCATCGTTCTGCAAGTGAGCATGGCTGTGGGGAGGGGGCCCCCCGCCCAGCATGCCCTGGGGGCTGCGTGCCCACAGTCAGAGCCCGTGGAGCCAACGTTATTCCCAAAGGATTTCCCAAGAAAGCCACCGAGCTCGCTTCTGCACCACAGAGAGGAGTCAGACCGGGAGGGTGTGAGATGGAACTGCCCTGGGAAAGTGACAGGTCATTGCAGGGCTCCTGCCTCCCCCTTGCAGCACAGTGACCAAGGTTCAGGGCTAACCTTGGAGGCTTAGGTGGGCGGCGGCTGAGTGAGGAGGGAGGCCCCTTAGTGGGCGAGGTGGATCTGATCGGTCACGGGGAGGCCAGGTTGGAAGGGGTGCTTAGGTTTTTCTGCCATGTGCATGTGTTTGTGGGAGGTGTGTGCCAAGTGGAAGAGGAAGAAGCCACTAGTAGACACCTGGGGGTGTTTGTGGGGTGCACTGTGAATCAGCAAGACCTGTATGCTCGTCCTCGAGACTACGGCCCTGCCTAAGAGCCATGATGGCCGGGGG